TGAATGAATGAATGAATGTATGTATGTATGTACACTTTTTTGTATGCACATACACACCCACCCGCACACCCACACACGCACCCGTCCGTACATCTATACATGCATGTGTGTACGTACAGCCAATCATGCATACATGCAGCATGCGTGCATACATACATACGTGCAGTCTTTCTTATCCATATCTGAGCCTACCTGGCACATGCAATGGGGCAATTGCGCGCCATGTCTTGCACGATGACAGCCGACCTGGTGGCCCTGGCAGGGCCTGGGCGCCCTACCTCCGCCTTTGGGGCTCCCGCAGGCGGCCGAGACCTAGGCGACCACCCCCAAACACAAAAATCAGGGATCTGTCCTCTCCTAGGTTGTCCGGTCCACCTGAAACTTAAAGACTCTGAACCGCTTGAGGCATGACAACTAGGGCAGCTGTACGAACGCTAGCAGGCCAAATGGTTCAAATCTGCGGTAAATGCATCGTAAGGGGATGCGAGGGAGGCACTGTGAAGCTAGTTGGCAGAAATTCATGCGACAGCACGGCTCAAGACACTATGGCGCAAACGGAAAATAGTCAGTTCGGGCCCATCAACCCACAAACCTCTGCTTTTTCTGGGCTTGGCGCATGCACAAGAAGAACCGCGCACAAAGCACAAGCCAGGGTAGACATTGCATGGGAGCCCTGCGGAACACGGACCGGCTCTAGCTCTATCCTAGCAGGAAAGTTCAAGGCAGACGAGACACTTCTTCCTCCGAGGCGGTTGTGATGGAGCCTGTTGGCAGCATGAACACAAAGCCAAGAATTCGAGTCGAGCAATCAAATCCGCTGTGTAGTAGTGCAGAGCTGCAAAGCTGGATCAGCTGCCCGAATCCGACTGTTGTCGGCGGTGACAGAAATTGTACAGCATCGGCTGGAGCTGTTGGGGGTAGTGCAGCAAGGTTGATGTGAGTTTATGAGACGCCTCTGCCAGGCTGTGTTCTACAGACGGAACCTGCGAACTACTGTGGAGGCCCTACAAAAGTTGTTAATTTGAAGCACCAACATCGCTATCCTGGGGGTGGGGAGGCATAGAGAAAGAGGCGGCGTTTTCCGCTCACGAAGCTGTGCCATCGAATGCAAAGCATCTTTGGGCAGAGACATGAGGCCACTCGTGGGGCGCCACGCTTTTCCCTTGATCCGGCCCTGACCAGTCCGTCCGGGGCCAAAGCCTCAGCCTCTGAAGACGTCTGCCGGAGCAGGGCTGGCCTTGGGCGTAAGCTCTCTCGGATCTCATGAAGATCTGCCTACCCAGTGAATCTGTATACTACTTGAGTTAGACTCATGTACTCGCCGGTATCACAGGTCACGAAACGATTTTAGAATGGAAGCCCCTCATGTACAACTCATCCGACTCACCAACATCAGCACAGCACTCCTCGGTTGCCAGCGCGCGCTCGCACAAGGAGGGGCTGTTCACAAATTGCCTTCACAAAGGATACGGTCAGAATGCCGTTGCTCTGCAATACGCGCATGCATGGGCTGTCCGCATAGACGGCCAGGGCAACCTCCTTCGTCTCTGGACGGAGGAGAGCGAGCCGGGACGTGTGACTGACCCAGGGCTGGCAGAGTCGCTAGCCTAACGGATTACTTGCTCACTGCCGAAAGAGCGATTCGGCTTCCAAGACAACTCAATCCCTTAAGCTGTCAAACATGTCTCCTGCGCCAGTTGCCTCTCAGCCTCTGAAATCCGAACCACGAGACGACAGTTCTGTGCCTGGCGACTGCAAGCGCTTGCTGAGCTTCCTCAGAAGGAAACTGAGGGAAGTCAGGGGCACCGTGCCCGGCACCCAAATCAGCCCAGTGACCCGCAGGGCTTCGTCAAGTTCACGCCCCTCATCTGTCAGAAGCTCCTCATGAGGCTGGTTAGACGTGGGAAGTGGCCACGGTGATGAGGGATTGTGGATGATTGTGATCCACGGGGCAAAGGGTTCAGAACGGAAGAACCTTGACTGGGCAGACTTGTGCTCAAAACCGCTCGCCGTCCTTCTGCTGAGATTGTCTGTCCACTTGGCCAACCTTCCCGGCACTCGGCAGGGTTATGCAGGGTCATTCAAACACAACCGATCCACGCTTCCATGTACAAGGAACAGGATTGCTTTCAGCACCATGGTGTCTCACGCTGAGCTCGCATTGCAAAGTGAGACACCTCCTCGCTGGGCGTTGCGGTGGAACCAGTGCAAACTGACGCGTCCGAGTTCTTCCTGCCTGGCACGCGGCATCTGTAAAATCTCCATGATCCCACGGCCATACTAGTCTTTTCATCTCTCCTGTATGCCTTCGCAACAGAACTCCATGCTCAGGTTGCCCATGTCTTGCCTTTACCCAGTTGCCACTTGATTTTTTTAAATGTGGTTCCCTTCTCGCGCGGGCAACCAAGCAAAAACTCAACACTTATCCGGTCGAACGTAGCTTCTCAGTCTGCCAGGATCAACGATACAGGCTTCCGCTAAAGTCATGCCTATGTCGTGCCTTTTGGCTCCCCTCGAGGAAATGCGTATGCGACAGTGTAGTTTACGATGAGCATGACAATCGAGCCGTTCTCTGGTCATTACATGACAAAAAAGACAACAAACCCACCTGGTGAAAACCCAGTGAGCACCCAACGTGCAACATTCCCCTAACCTTGCTGCAGTCCAGGACCCCTCTGGACTTGCGAATTCCACTTAGCCTGCCTAACTGTTCTATTCCTCCTTGATACTCCTGCATTCCAACATCTGTATCTTTCTTTCTGCTGGGCTTAGGGGTCGTCAAGACCCTCAGGCCATAGGCCCGCCCAACCCCCCCACTGTGTTAGTGAGTGGTTGGCATTGGGGTTCATCCAGAATACTGCAAAAACTACGAAGTATGCCCCGAGTGTTCATGCAGCGAGCCCCACCCTTTACGTTAAACCACCTGCGTCCCGGCCTCATCCCCGCGCCCCTGTGGCTACCACTCTACCGTAGGGCTCGCATCCTTTTGTTCCCCGGTGGGTCACTTTCGGGGTTCAGGGCAACACATGGCGAAACATACTATGAGATATCGAAAACTGCGTTGAACAAGGCCGCGTTCCCCCTCTGCTCCCCTTTACTGTCTATCGTCTCCCCCGGGTGGGTCGACCAAAAGTCTGCTACTTGTAACCCCGGTGAGTGTGTGGGCTGTGAAATCCAATTCAAACTGCTCCCCCTACTCACTGGAGGGCTTCTAGTAGGCTGTGGGCTGCATACTTGAAGCTGGCTCTGGCTCTGGCTCTCTCTCTCTCTCTCTCTCTGTCGGGGGGACACGTCAGGGTGAACTTCACCCTCAGCTTGGCACGCGCAGCGCACTTTCCGCACTGCTGCTGGAAATGAGGTCGTGTGCTCAGTCCAAAGATCGCCGTTGCCGCCCCCGAACCCATCTCAAGCAGTGAGCAGCCCCTCCTCCGTGCTCAACCAGTTGTTGACTTTCCGTAACCACTTGTAGCATCAGTCATCAAGCCATTGGTTCCATTTTGCCCCGTGGTTTTCGCAAGGCTCCAGCCGCACACTGCCCGGACTTCGACCTCCCCTCGCTGGTTAGTGTGTGGCCGAAGATACGATCGAAGCGAATCGGGGCTTTGCCCCGACAACGTTGGGCATTGCCTGATGCCTCCTTGATTGTGGGTCTTGCACCTGTGCCATTCTGTTCTCTGGGTCTTACCTCTTGAACCGCCTCTGAACCAGCCTCCAGAAGTATGTGCTGGCAGGCGAGACTTTCGTATCATTTTCTGTGTGTAGATAGAAACCTTTCTGTCTGTGTCCTTCCCTCTCCTCATAGCAGAAACCCTGTGCCTAGTCCAGACGCCACTTGCAGGGTTGCAACCTTCGGTTAGCAAGCAGGCACCCGACTCTGCGCGCTCTAGCCTTGTGGCTCACTCAGAAAAGCATCTTTGTGCCTGCGTTGCACAAATGCGTGAGCCGAACGCTTAACGCCGAAGCTGCCTCTTCGTCGCTGTCCGCGCCAAAGAAGGTCGAAGTGGAGGTCTGTGCAAACTCGTCAGACAGAGTCTCCTGAGAAGCCAATTCTCGACCGGCTACTTCTTCACGGCTGCAAACCTGCTCCTGGTTTCTGCAGGAGATTCGGCTTATCGTGGCCCGTGGCAGATGCTTATGAGTCGTTCTGATGCCGGACTGCGCTCACTGCCTCGAAGTCGTCGGAGTACTGCGGAGATGTCGGCTCCATTGCTCAAACTCTTTTCGAATCAATGCGGGACCGAACCTGGGGACTCCTCGCTCGTTCGGAGACTCCGCCTTGTGGCTCTTCAAGTTCTTCGAAGCCACAATTCTTTAAACCTGTCTCGTTCCGGCCTGCCACTCACAGCCCTCAGTCAGCGCTTGATTGCCAGGGTGACTTGGTCAACTTCGTTGCTTTTCTGTCAGTGTCACGATGACAAAGCATGCACAGAGCTGCCGTACTTGCACTCGCCTCGCGCTCACACACGTTTGTAGCCGTGCAGCAGTTCGCGGCAGGGAGCGGCACTTGGACTGGGCATTTCGGCCTCAAGCCAGGCTTCCCTGCTTGCAGCGCTTGGAGTTTGCACATTCAGCCACAGTCCAGGAGCTCGTCATATGGAGTATGCAGCTGCTCCAAACAGACCGGATGCGCAGCAAATTTTGCACACGTCTCTAGCACATCTGCAGCCTGCTCGAAGCCGAATTGAGTGGGAGTCCGACTCGCAGATCGGTTCACTTCCAAGCTTCATGCTTGTGCCCACAAACTGCCCATCAAGATTCATAGCGCTAGATGATGGAACCGTGTCCCAGTCCCAAGGCTCGTCATTGGGGTGTACTGCGAGTCCGATACCATTGTGTGCTGATGCACGCCTGAATCTTCGCAAGTCCGGTAGCTACCGAGTGACATCGAATGCCAGCAAAGCATGCAATAGCAAGCAAGCTGCTACAGATTGTAACAGCAAGAACCAACTGCTTGTGTATGTTGTCACCCGTCATGTGTGAGCTCAAGCTCTGCAGCCTTCTCATGCGAAGAGGAGACCACGGCCCTCAGTGCCGCGGTGTCTATGTCGCCTAAATAATCCCGGGCCCGGAACTGCATGTCCGCGCAAAGGGCCTGTCTTTGCCTCCGAAGTTTCTGTGACTGTAAACTGCACAGGAACCAACTCAACAAGCGAAAGTCAAGTGAGAAGACGGAGCCCATACTTGTGCACACTTATAACTCGGATGGTTGTGCACATCGCAAAGACTCCCCAGCATTCGCACTACTTTAGATCACAGCGATGTAACAGCATCGACCCACCGGGTAAGCCACCCGGAGTTGCTTCGCCTCTTCGTCCGCGGAAACCTGGCCCATGAGGGAAGCCAGAGTCCCCCAGCCTGCACTATGGAGGTCCTAGCCACGACACCCGAAACCTGAAGAGGTGCTATCTGAAAATTCAGCCTGCGAGACCTCACTGGGCATGTGCTTTGCAAGTGCGAAGCCGATCTGCTGATCCTGCCAGTCGTAGACGGTGTAGTACTTGCCTGAAACAAGAGGTGAAGCGATCTGCCTCAGAAGCTGTAGGTGCCTCTGGGTGCCCGCGCGAAGCACGGGCTCGCCCCAAATGAAAAGCTTTGGGCCCAAGGGCTCAGGCAGCTCCAGCGGCATGATGGTGGGCTGGCCTTATGTCACAATTGCTACACGAATGCTGCTTTATCAGGCGAGGAGGATGCATGAGTGTCAAGCCGACGAAAGCAAGACTGCCTCCCCAGAACATGAATGTATGTACAAACACACTTTGCATGTTTTCTTGAGCATGTGTCGCTGCCCATGTGTATAAGCCAGATGACACCAGAACAAAATATCGAACAAACAAGTGCATTTGCGCATGAAAATCAGTGAACGAGCAGGCAGACAGGCAGGCACGCAAAGCCAGGTAGGTAGGCATGTACGGATGATTGCAGATGTATGCAGGCATGTCTGTCCGCCCGTATGAATGTGTGTATATATGCACGCACTCAGGCATGTATGCACGTCCGCCAGCACGCAAGAAAGATAGGTGTGTACAGACTTACCTAAGTAGGTATGTATGTAGCGGTCAGGTTGGTGTGCACTATGTATGTACGTATGTCCGTATGTCGATATGTATGTGTTTATGTGTGTGTATATATATATATATATATATATATAATATGCATACTCAGTTACGATGCGTAATATTACATAATGGCAATAACAATAAGGAATGTTAAAGTGTGTGCATATATCATATCATTATACAACATACACGCACACGTCTGGTTTATGGGTCGGGAGTTGCTCATTGGGCCACCATGCTGACTCTGTTTTGCCGCTACGAGCAACATCTGCTTGTTCTCTCACGATGATTATCTATTTTGCAGAAGACGGAGCGTGTTGTGGGTGTGCACGCGTGTGCGCTTCTGTATGTGTGCCCAGAAGACTGGTAAACCGAAGCCTCAAACATCCTCAAACCTTGAACCCTGAATTCTCATGTGCCGCAGCACTTCAAGCTGCCACACAATGTCCCACATTTGATGCCGACGCGCCGTTGTGTTTCACAGCCACACGCAACGTGAATGATATGGCCACACTATTTTGGCAAACACCTTCATGTCACCTGGATTCAGGATACGGCTGCGCCAACTCACAGATAGATTTCCGCTTAATAGCATATTCGATGTCTGAGACGATTGTAAAAATGCACAGCAAGCTGATCTCAACGTTGTCACGATGCAAATACAAGCCCTGCAGTCCAACAAAGCAACATCTGCAGAACATAAATCGCCCTTGGTTCATGATCATATCTACACATGAACAACTGCGTACTAATTCTTTCGTACGTCGGCTTCTGTCTTGGCTATGTGCGTACAGTTCGACAGCACGAAGATCCATAAGATATGTCACACTCTCGACTCTAGCTTGTAGTCTTGCATTGTACGGCAAGTGTTGAAGTTTTCATGCCGCTTCGTTGATCCGTCATCTGGTTCACACACAGTCATGTAGAAATGTACCAGGCGCAGGAGGTCACGGCCTTACGATAACCAGACTCTTCGCCGTGTGTCGTTCTATCCGGCGGAGGTCGCTGAGATGCCGAAAAGGGAGAAACCGTAGAGAAAAGAGTATCACTGCAATGGAGGATGCTCCACAGTATTTCCAGCGGGCGTGTGAAAACACTCGACTCAAATTGCAAGCTTCTCGCGCCGCTGTACCCTATGTTTGCTCTAAAACCAGGGTACCTAATGCACGACTACCACGAACATCGTCTCCACCTATTCGACACTGGTCGAAAAAACGAATCATGTTACGTTGTTAACCCACGAGACATCCCCCTAAACAACTGCAAGTCTATGCTAGATGCGAGCAGCTAGAACCACCAGCATAGATAGAGTATCTGATGTAGTCTTGTGCCTCTGCCGATGTCGTGCACCGTCTTGCTATCTGTTTAGATGTACATACACGCACGCACAGGCGCCTGTATAGACTTTTCTCTCAGGCCATACAGCTCACGAAATCCTCATCGTGCTCACTTCAATCATGTGCAGGCTTGTATATACGTGCACGTACCAGTACAAAGAGAAACAAACACACATTCACACATACCTACGTTCATTCATACATACATACATATACAGACATAAATGGCTACATACATACATTACATACACGCATACGTACATGCGTATGTACAAGCATAGTTGTGACCTATACGTACGTACGTACCTACATACGTAAATTTGTACGCATGCGCGTGCATACGTACATGCGCATATACACACATACATATGATCTTGCACCTCCAGAGCTGGCTTCACCCATGGTCTTCAAATAGATGCACCTGTCACCGCTTACAGTTTGTGTTTGCAAAGTGGATTATGTAGTGTTGCCTGACCGGCAAGATGTTGCATGTGGTTATCTATATATGTCTGTGTATGTGTGTGTGTGCGCGCGGTGTGTGTGTGTGTGTGTGTGTGCATGTACGAGGCTTTCTCATCACGCGATGTAGCAGAATATCTACCAAGAGTCGTGCTCAGAGCGTGGATGTCCGGTGTGGTATGCGTACTGTACACACATGCATACCGCTTTTGTGTCACATGCACATACATGCACCTGCCCAGGCATATCCTATTCCAGGGCATGGGCAAGTTGGCCGAGTACTGTTGGCACTTGGGGCCGTAGCCTGCGCAAGGATACGCCAGCATCGCTTCGGAACATCCATGCCCCCTTTGGGGAGTGTCGTGAAAACTTGTTGCATCCTGGCATGTCTGATGACGCAAATCTTCGCTTCAGGAAGCCCAGCAGTTGGGAGCCTTCTCTGCTGGAAGGCTGTTCGGCTCATCCTTCAGCCTCGAGGAGGGCCGCTGCCCGGACGCTGTGCTTCGGGGGACGAAGACTGAGTGGCAAGCTCGTCGAAGCTGCCCTCGCGAAGATCCTCGGAAGGCTTTTGCTGTCTACACAACAGCTCGTATTCAGTCGTGATACACGGATCATTTAAGGAATGCAGTTGGGGAGGTAAGTTGCCAGCTTTATCATAATGATTGACATCGCTATTACAGACCGGAACTCCGGCAACTCGTTGATTTGCTTCGCTCTCTAAGTGCTTCTATGTTGGATTAGCGCAGAGCTGCTTTCTGCAGTGTCGTCGTACACCACCGACGAATTTTGAACATGCCCCCGTTAAGTCCCAAGGCCAGCAAACACTGCGATCGCAGCTTCTGAATGACACAATATTGCACCGCCGTCGTCAGAAGTGGGATACGAATGGACTCTTGCAAACTCTCGAGCATGCCTGGCTAAACTTCTGCCAAGCCCAACGTCTCCCTGCATTGCTGGATTCAAGACCAGTGACTAATGCTTCAGAACAGACCAGAACAGCTGAGTGCCCAACTTCAGCATGAACAGCCTAGCAGATTCAAAACTAGGGCATCGCCCTGCACACAGACTGCGCCCTCGTACGCCAAGCTGTCGCCTGGCGCGAGTAGTCACCCGGCAGAAGCGTCAGCGTGGTGCCCTCAACCTGGGTAAGTCAACCATTCATGCGACAAGCATCTAAAGACCGTCCCCAAGCTCCAGGACTATCCCTCGGCTTCCGGCATCAAAGTGTAGGGGCTCCCCACGTGCCCGCTGGCAATCAACACCTGCAAAACGCGACCGCGGAGAAGCGCTTCCAACGTTATGTCTTAGGAAAAGGTCTATAATAGACCTTTCTAACACTTGGGATGCAATTCTGGTTTTGAATCGATTGCTGTCTTTCGCGGGCCCTCGAAGGCACTGAAGGCAGGTGAGACCAGGGCCCCTGAGATCTGTTGGCACCGAGGAACAATCCCCAACTGAGGGTTTACACCACATCGAGGAACTTCGTCCCGATGTGCTGAGAAGGCAAAGTGCAGCCCATGACAGGACTTGAAGTGATGGCAGGCTCATTGCATCGGACTTCTCACCCGGGCAAGCTCAGATTATGAGCTTGCCGACACCCTTCGTGCCAGAGTCCTCCAAAAGAAGTTCCATGGAAGGCGCTTGTTTCATGCTTAGGCGAAGCAACCCTCCGCCCTTCCGAGCGAACCCTGATATTCGGATCCAAATTGTAGCTGATCTCACCGTGAGGTGACTCCTCGCAGCCACCAGAGTCCAGACGGTGAGGAAGGGGTAGAGCCTGCTGAACTCGAGGCCAAAGCTCCATAAAGCTGCGGTGTGTCTTGTCGCCACAAGCATGGTGCAAGACTCCTTGTTCTGCAGATTACTTGGACATGACACTGCAGCTGCGTTTCCAAGGAAGCCCCTGTACCTCAAGTCGAGGTGCTGTCCTGGCATTCCATTTGTGGATAAACTCAGATATTGTTCCCTGGCCTGGGCTTTTCCATGCTCTGACCAAGCATGTGGCCTTGGCATCTGCCAGGCGACGATCATGCGTCTGCTGGGTGCCTGCAGTTCAACACAACCGCCTGTGGCACTGTGGCATGTGCATCTAGAGAAATCCATGCCGATGTCTTTCGTGAAGGCTTCGCGGTGGCTTATTTGGGAGACGCATCTATCAGTACACAAACTTCAATGTAGAGACCGCCTGCTCAAGAGATCAATTGTACGGACTGGACATGTTAAGATTTTGAGCTCTTGGATTCCTCCCCGCAAAGCCTGGACGCAGAAGGATGCGGCAAAGCCTGCTGAAGGCCCTTGCCTTGGCTCAACACTCCTTTCAGCTCAAAGAGAGAACTAGAGGAACTCGGAGCCTCTCTGAATCTGGGCCTCTGAGTAGAAGAGGTCTCAGTCCAGTTGAACATGCCGAAGTGAACTCGTCACTCAAAACGTGTTGGCAAGAAGAAGGCTCCGAAGTTGGATTCTACCAGACACTTCCAGATACTCGCAGCCGCAAACAAGCATCACAAGTGTTCCAAGTCGTTGTGCCCAGGCACAGATGCCATCGCCCCAGCATTTCTCCAGACATGGGTCGCCAAGCATCCAAGAAACCGTTACCGTGGAGGACCTGATGCACTCGAGTTGAAGTGACAGGATGTGCGCTTTCGGCTTTGTTTTCGTGCCCCAGATGGCCACCAACATGCGCGTCAGCCGGAACTTTATAGGCCCACTCTGACTCAACATGTATGTTTGAAAAGTGAGGCCTTTCACAGCTTTACTGAGAGCACAACCACACCCAGTGCCACTGCTACGATCCCCTCGTCTCACTCAGACGGTAACACCCTTCCACGTAGCTGAGACCGGAACGAGGAGCAAACTGCCGTCAGGGGCAAACTGCAACGCCTGCACTCCCAAGTTGATCCAGAAACTGGTAATTCCCTACATCTCTGTGTGGGGTTCTCACTTTTGGGGGTCTCCCGCCTTCTCGTCTCCTTCTCCTCCTCCTCCTCCTCCTCATCCTCACCCACTCACTCACCACTCACTCAGGCACTTCTCACCACTCACGCACTTGCGCATCATCACTCATCACTCTCACTCACTCACCACTCACCGCTCGGAAACGGGACTCAACGCCCTCTCTAGAGAGCTCCGTTGGATGCCGCGCGCACGTGGGGGGCTCGCCGGCCACCACCCTCCGGAAGACTGTACACACTACCGCCGCAAAATTGCCGTCTGTCCCATGCAGTCTTGTAACGTAGGAGTGAGCTGAGGTTGATTCTGCGATAGCGATGGCATGTCTTGAGCTTTGTTGTGAAGTTGTTCTACCGCAGGCTGCATTGGAAGCAACTGAAGGGTTAGATTGCATAGTTCGTACCTGCCTAGCGCCATGGAACCCCATCCTGAAGATGAGTCTACGTCCACAGTGCCAAGTCCAGCTGAGGAGGGCATCGGCACAAATGGAAATGCGCACCCTCCTCCGGTGAATTATGAGGTCCTCGTCCAAACTTCTCAAGGTCAGCTAAAGAACATCCTGATACTAGTAGAGCAAGCTCGAATGCGAGAGCAGCTCCGTGACTTGATGCCATGCAAGCTTGGAGCAACGAGCATCAACAGATCGTGCGACTGTTGCGCAGGATCTAAGGAATTATGGATCCGGAGTTTCAACCAGGAATGCTATTACACGGTTTCCGTGCACCTTAGACTCACTAGCACGACAACGCAGGCGCGGCAACCGCTGCACAAGGCAAGCATGGAGTAGCAGTCACTCAGGTCTCGTGCAACTCGGATTGAGAAGCGCTGCAGATGACACTCTCTCTGCCTATGTGCTGCGGCGAAAAAAATGTCGCTGCCGCAGTTTTGCCTGCTGTCGCCCTGAATCCCACACCTGCACGCTGCACAGCTCGCACTCACTCACTCACACTTACGCACACACACTTGTTCACTCGCTCACTCACTCACTCACTCACTCGATCTCATTCGCTTCCTCCCTCACTCACTGACTCGTCTTCACTTACAGCATGAAATACACACGTGGGGTTATCCGGTCCTTTAAGTGTTTAAGTTGCTCTTGCTAAGTGCAACCTCGTCAGCAACATCAGCTCATGCTGTTTGAGCGAACTGGGCGCCGTCAACTGTCGGATGCGAGGGGCCAATGCTGAAAGTTCCAAGCACAGCCACAACATTCATGACAAGAATGTCCCACTGAGAATGCCAAGGAAGTTGCATGCCATCGTCACTAGCTGGCCTGCACGTCAGTGTAATTTTCCTGCCATGCAGGAGTGCGATTCCGATGCTCCCAACTGTGTAGCCCGATAACATATCCTAGAGCTTGTCGTTTCATGTTCTTCAAAGATGAAAGGTAAGTTGTTGCTTGTGACAGATAGCTGTATGCACATCGGCGCAGCTATGGACCATGCTCCACAACCAGACTGCAGCCGCACGAGCAAGTGCTGCTGAAGCAACGAAGAGGTGCAAAGCGCTGAAGGGCGCTGAAGGCAAGAACTCGGCCAGGGAGTCGGGCCCAGGCACGCAGTGTCTGCCCAGCAAGGTGGAGACCTGGCACGGGAGCTTAAACACGGAACACGCGCGCACCTAGAAACTCGTGCTTCAGATCGCCTTGGGCCACCGTGTGAGGCTGCTTTGACCTCACTTGTGACACTCTTCTAACACTTGCTTGGGCTTGGGCGGCTTGATCGGATTCGCCACGCCGTGGATCCGCGTTCGCATTCGCAACGGGTCTCAGCTCGAGGCACATGCGCCCCGGACGCAAGACGAACCTGCTTCGAGCAGCAGGCTGCTTCAATACGTGTGACTCGCAGGTGCCTTGGGTTTGCTCTCACATGGCCGTGCCGCACGGATGCGAAGAAGACCTGCAGAAACGTCCCAAGGATTCAGACCACATCAAAGCTAGAAGTCCCAAGGATTAAGCCGCAGCGTTCCTACAAACTCGCCGGCACCCACTTTTTGTAGACTTGACAGCACAGATTCCGTCCTCACCTCCAAGCCATCCCATCCGACGATGTGGAGACGATCCCGGCCTGCGTGCAGCTTTCGACATCGTCGAAGGAGAGAGTTTTGGGGAGGGAGAGAAGAGGAGAGGGAGCGAGGGAGAGAGGGAGGGCTGACTTCCGGAGCACTGACCGTGCAAACTGTGTGCTGCGCCTGTAGCATTGCCAGCAGGTTGATGTACGGCCAGCCGGCGCCAGCTGGATGCAAAGCAGGGTCGGATGGGGCGAAGCTTAGTCATGTACATAAGATAATGGTTGTGTCAAGGGTTGCGTCTCACTTCCATGGGCCGTTCCGGTAAATAAACCGCACCGGCCACATGGAGCACACCAACGTGACGTCAGAAAACCGACGAAAAACACACATACGTAAAGCATCCTGTGCAAAACAAAGAGGCCCCTGAGCGGCGGATCTGGCGTTAAGGCCCCGCTGTGTTCAAGTTCCTACGACACTGAATTTCCAATCCATGAGGACACCGTCGCACAGCTCTGTGCTAACGTGCACGCCCGATCCATCTCGTGTAGAAGACAGCTTCACCGTTCCAGAAAGTGCTGGATGCCATATGATGCCATGTTCGTCTGCGAGCATGAGATTGCTAGACGAACAGCATAACTTTAACACATCAATGGTTTGAGTATGACATATCTCACAGCACGAGCCAACCATTCGACAAATGGCGCAGAAAAGCGCGGCCTGGCAGGAAGACGGACTTGGGCTGGCTGGCCGGCGGAATGATTCAAGCTTTCCGGAGCAGCTTTCTGTGACTCAGCCCCTGCGCGACGCTTGTTGAATGTGGGCACATGTTCAGTCTGCACAACTGCACATCTTTGACTTGGGCTGCAAGATCGAGCGAAGCAACACTGTGAATTGCAGATGTTGCCCCAGTCAGCCTGAATCGAGCTTGAAAACGTCAAACTCGGCTAGATCTCGCTCCTGGTTTTGTTTGCAAGGTGAGCATTCTAGGGGTGTTTAGCAACGTCTTGGCTCAGGTCTTCCGCTGTGCGAAGTATTCGACTCTGAGACCTATGCCTGAACGCGTTGGACATGTGTGGGCTCGTCGGTCCTGATTCCCGGTCTTGACGAGGACGCTGCATGATCCGGTGGTAGGGCACCAGACCTCTTGCGGAGCCGGCTTCTCAATCACGGCATCGCGTGGAAGAGCCGAAAACATTCCTACTTGTAGAAGTAAAGGCAACCGGAAGAAAGCTTGGCGCCGTGCTGCCTTCTCGAAGACTGTGTCATTCTGGGCGAAGGCATCGGCCTCTATGACGGTGGCAGG